TTTCTCTCTCTCTCTCTCTCTCTCTCTCTCTCTCTCTCTCTCTCTCTCTCTCTCTCTCTCTTTCTTTCTTTCAGATAAAAAGGCCAATTTCAAAGTATCTACTCAGGTTTGACATATATCTTTTCTTCATAGACGGATGAAGGCAAAAATGACCCACTTCTTAAACCTTTATGTTTTCTTATATTAGGGTCTGGGCTTACCCACAAGAGATAGTATCTTAACAGTATGGGGCATACCTACTGTGGGCACTTGCTAATAATTACTGTTGTGGCTACAGCTGCTTCAGAGGCTCAGCTGGAACCAGCAGGAGGCCTGATCTCTGAAACCCACAAACCTGGCCATTTGGGAGGGGGCTGAGGGAGTGAGGGAGTATGGGGGCACTCATGCTACCAGCAGCTCTTTTACTTATGCAGTTCTATATTGAAATGCGTATACAAGAGAAACCCAGGGTGTTTAATTAAACTTAGATTTAGGAAAGGAAGTATAAACCCAGGGAAAATGTGTGAGTGTGAGTGTGTGTGTGTGTATGGTCATGTGCATACATATGCAAACATGCATTTCTGTGAGTGTGTCTGCATAGCTGTCTGGGTATTTTAAGAGGATACTAAAAGGCTAAATGCCTGCGACCTTCAAAGCCTCCAATTTGATGACTATTATTGGTGGCTTTCTCCCAACCATGTTGTCTAGCATTTGGGGACATGTCTATGGCCCCCTATAAATGTTTTAAATCTGTGGTCTACTCAAATGCCTCTGCTCCCATTTGATGCATCTGTGCTTAGGAAATGTGGGGGCACACAAGTGTTGGATGAGTTTGAGTGGAAAAACTCTAAAAGGATGCTCTGAATAACCCCAAGAGAATATATATATATATATATTCCTGAGTTACAGTGTTTATCACTGATCTCAAAGATGAAGGGTCCAATGTCTAAGGAAAAACCCAAAGCTTTATGGTAATTAGGTTATTATTAAAAGCAATTTCACTGCCTACCCCCCAAGGAAAGACTCTACTTCTCAGCCACATTGATGTTGGGACATGTGACCAGCTTTGACCAACAGGACAAGGCATGATACAAGCAGAGGACTGAAATGCACTTATGATTGCATGGTTCTCCTCTATTTCCGCCACCATCTCAAGCACCTGCCCCTGCTAGCCCACTGATCCAAGCAGGAGGAAAGACATATGGGGCAGTCCCACACTCAGCCTATGGCTTGAGTCTTGACTCCCAGCTGACCCACAGAAACATAAATGAGAAGAGATTTTTGATGTCTGAAGCCACTGAAATTTGGACTGGTTTGTTACACAACATTACTGTGGCAATAATGAACTGCTACAATCCTATTTCATCCTACGTCTAACACAATCCATTGGGTGGGCAGAGGATCTGGATGCAAAAATGCATTGTCCTTTTCACAAGGCAGCCCTGCTGCGCTGCTGGCAGTCCAATATGCCCGCTTTCACCTTCCTTCCCAAAGATGCTCTCCTCCTCTTCCTCACCAAATCCTCTGCATTGTCTAACATGCCCCATGATCCCGAGTCTTGCTTTGATGGTGTAGTTAGGAACTAGCACACCATTACAAAGGCTGCTTTTACTTTATCATCCCACTCTGGTCTTTTTGGGGAGTCTCTTATTTAGGATGAATTCAGGGTATTCATTCAACCAAAATTATACTCCTCCTAACTCCAAAATGAAACAGTACGCAACAACAAAATATTTGCCATAGCAATATTCAACACATGTCATTTTCTCTCTCCAGAAACAATTTTAGCCAAACCTAGATTTCAGGAAAGCAATACTTTTCTCCATGTGAATGTTATAACTATTTAGGTAACAATGAATGACAAAAAGAGACTCATTATAAAAAGTTACAGTGTTACTTAAAGGTTTCAGTATTAAAATGAGCCTTCCCACAGGCCAGATTGAACTCTTTGGCTGTTGGTAAGACACACAAATAACTAAGACCTCTTTAGTTTATAAAAAACATCACTTCCACTCATGTGCCTGGCACATAGAAGACATTCCACAAATGTTTACTGAACTGAATGTACAGCTTTCCTTTTTCAGGAAGGAGTCTCCTGAGCAGAAGAAATAACCCTGAGTATCTTGCTTCAGCAATTCTATCCCAGTGTCCAGCATGGCTGTTTCCCATCTCAAAGATATGTTCAGAAACACTTAGAAGCAACTCAAGTTGTATGCATTAGTCATTAATACTGTTCACCAAATATTTGCAGGTCTCTACCTTCTGAGCACATGGAAGGATTGCACTTCTGGGCCCCTTGTGGTTGATAGGGTGGTGGTGAGTCAAGGGCCTATGACCGAAAGTGATGTGTGTTACTTCCAGACCAGAGCATTTAATTGTCAGGGCAACACTCTCCAGGGCTCTCCTTCCTTCTGTCATGGTGATTAATGACATTCAAGACGTGGATGCTCAGCCAGTTTCATCCTGACATGGAGTTGACCCTGGACAAACCAGGATGGTCATGTGGTATGAGCAATAAATAAAACTCTGTTGTTTGTGAGTCCTAAAGATTGAGTTTGTTATTGCAGCATATCCTGGCCTATCCTGACAAAGTATCTGACCAGAGTACTTTCCCATAATTTACCACACCTTCACAAACCAACTGGTGTAAGATAAAAACATGGATAACACTTCTCAAGAATCTCAAAGATGAAGTTGATCATCAGTGTGTCCAAGTTTTAATCAGATCTGTTGTGTGGTCAGATGCTGCTTTGCCCATCTCTCTTCCTGTGACTGCCAAGCTGGAATAATGGGTTAAGTTAACTTTCTTCTATAGCTGGCTCCTAGAAGTGAACACCTTATAGGATAGCTTACGGCTGCAAGGACAAGGAAGGGTTCTTTGATACTTCCACCCCAATCCTCTCTAATCCCCACAGGAAAATAGCCCAGGGTGAGTATATTGCCTTATAAAAAATGCTTTAGGATTTAAAAAAATGAAATCAGACAAATCATGATAAGAGTAGATGTTGGAGACTGTTTAATGCAGTAGTTCATAAACTGGGTATCTCAAAATCGTAGAAACCTAGTTCATTAGTCAGTCAATAAATACTTTTTTTAGTATCCACTCTATTACAGGCTTTGCACTAGGTTATTGGGACACTGAAGTAAACAAGACAATGACAAGCCCCTGTTCTCAAGAAGCTTTCATTCCCATAGAGGGTAACAAAGCAATAAGCTTAGATACAAGCAAATAAAAATGTCAGGTACTGATATATACTATGAAGGGGACAAAATAGTGTAATAATATAGATCAGTGTTGACAAACTAGGACCTGTGGGCCAAATCCAGCCGTCAGCCTCTTTTTGTATGGCCTATGAGCTAAAAATTATTTTTGACATTTTTAAATGGTTGAAACAAATGAAAAGAAGAACATTTCCTGATGTGTGAACATTATATACAATTCAAATGTCAGTGGCCGTAAAGTTTTACAGAAACACAGCCATACCCTAAATGATCTGCCCTGGCTACTTCTTCAACCTTAACAACTGCAGTGCTGACCTCCACTCTCCCTACTCTACTCGCACTGGCCCTGACTAATACCCGAACACCCTAGTCACCTCCCTGCCCTCACCATGGCCATTGCACAGTGGTGGCCTCTGCCTCCCTTACTTCCTTCAGGAGTCTGCACAAAGGAAACCGAATTGGAGAAGCCTCCCTCATCCATTACTCTGCGTCTCCTTCCCCTGCTGGATTTTCTTCATGGCATTATCACCCCTGAGTTATTATAGATTCATGTATTGCCTGCCTCCACCTGCCACACTTGGAATATAAGTTACATTCCAATTGAATTGTCTTATTTCCTGCTGCATTTCCAGCACTGAGATCAGTACTAAGATATAGTAGGTACTGGACACACAAAAAAAGAATTGTCGAATACTGAAAAGTTCTAATGAGAGACAAGGGAGAAATCCTTTATGAACTAGGACATCACAACCACTCAAGGCTTTCATGATGCAGGGGGGAACCTCAGAGTGTTTTTGCTTTATGAAGTCCTAGTATCTTGGTAAAGGCTACAACTAGTGGCAGAAAAGAGAAAAGTGGACTTGCTACTATAAATGCACCTGAAAAGGAAATGTCTCATCTCACCTCAACTCAACTGCTAATCTCAAGTGGTAGGAAAGAGCTGAACTTAGAAATGTGCTCAGAAACACATTTTACTGTCATTTTTTTTTCCTGTCATTTGTGTCCCTATTTCTCTAGCACCTCTAGCCAATTGTGATAATAATAAATGTACCTGCGAGTTCCAGATCTTATTATGTCAAGTTCTATGTGGGAGCATCCATGTGTCCAAATACTATATTTTCATTCTATAAACTGTCTTTACAAGCCTGTCCCAAAAGGGGTTCCATAATGGAAGTTGTTCAATATTCAGCTTTAATGTTATTTTTTTCTAGAGCTCTTAGGGGTCTAAAGATTTATCTACAAGTTGAAATCAGGTTTTTAAACTAAAAAATAAGTCATACAAAGTACTATATTCAAGATATAAGATACAGGTGGTTCTATTATATGCTAAATACCAATAATATGCTAAGGTTCAACCACTAGTTAAAAGTGACTAACTAGGATAGAACAGGTCTGTGTATAGAAGCATGTAATTCAACACATTCAACTACAAGGTCATAAATGAAGAAGAAATTAATGGAAAGCATGTCAATGTCTTTTATGCCAAGGACTGTGCCTGATAGAAAAGTGGACAAGAGCTTGTGGGGCCATTTGACTAACAACAAAGTCAATGGACTTTCCTGGGCATGACTTTGGAAGTAGGAATAGGAAGGGGGGGTGGGGATGGGTCTGCTTCCCGAGTTAAATATGGAAAGTGCACCTCAGTCTTTGTTATTCAATTCACTTTAGAGACAATTTCAGGAGCAGGCAAGTGAAGCAAAGGTTATGAAGTGTTGTCAGCCACGTGGCTTTCTCAGGAAAGTTAGTTTTCCCACATTCCGGTGCACCTTGGACTTATTCCAGTCTCACACAGTGTTTGGATGACTCCAACACCCAGCAATAGTGTTCCACCAGTGAAGTTAAGAAAGAAGGGGCTAAAAGGAAGTGTGGTGAAGGAAACAAATTTTGCCAGAAAAGAGTTGGGCAAGCCTAAAATGACCTGGAATTATTTCTTCAGCACTCTATTGATATGTCTGCATCAATGACTTTAAAAAGATTTATGGAGGATGGCTTCCCCTAGTAGCTTATCAAATAAACCAGAAATAGTGCTGGTCAGAAGATCAATATGAATGACAGGACAGTGAGGTTGCAGATATTTATTTACCAGATGCCCCAAGTGTCTATACTATTATACTCAGGACTCATATACAGATGTGAGTCTGTGTGGATGGAGCTTCCTAGAGCTGTGCAGTGCACACCCTGTGCACCTGTATATGAGTATCTTACCTTTACTTAGAAAGCTGAAGAAAACAGACACGGATGGTTAATCTGATTATATTATTGAATCAAAAATAGACAGTAGGTTAACCTTATTTCTAGAAGAAAATGTGTTCTGCTTAGACTGAGAAAGTTAGCAGCTAAACAGTACATACAGTAGATTTGAGTTGAGATTTTCAAAAATATTTATCTCAGTTCACAAATTCCATGCAGTTTACCCCAAACAGCTCCCGTGAGTACAAGTGGAAAGGCTAATGAAATTAGGATGCCTTACACTTAAATGGCATTAGCACAATTGTCCAAGGTATTAGTAGCTGTTTACATGGTTGGTACAGGAAAAAAAGTGTTCAGAGACTCATGTAACTATAGTAGAGGCAACTCTAGTCTAAGCTGAAAAAACAGGAGATTGTTCAAGGCTAGAAAGTGAGGACTACGGGGGAAGGTAATCTAGGGACAGAACTGGCATCGCCGTCCATCCTGAAAGAGGCGGTTAGAAGAGGTTAGGGTGGAGAGAAGAACCTTCTCATGGACCTACAACTAAGAAGGACCCCGAAAATGTCTTAAAATAAATAAAACATTTTCATGTCAAAAAGCAAAAAATAAAATTCATACCCCGGTGTCCAAACCACTACTATCCTGAATATGCTTTCATAGTAAATTTTAATTTAAACAAGAATAGCATCAACACTAAGAAACTTCTTAGATTTTTTTCTTAAGAAAAAGTTGGGAGCAAAAGGAAAAGCATTATAATCAATATGATAAACCTCCTTTCCCTCCTTTACCACTCGGTCACATCTATACCCAAGCTTCTGTTAACTATAGGCAACCTTTTCTTCACATCAGAGATATTTAATTTAGCTGGGGATTGGGTGGATGTGTAGCTTTATTTTTAAAGGAAATTCTAATATGTATGAAGAAAATCACTAATAATATTACTAAACATATAATGCTGCACCTTCCATATGTAAGGACATGTTTTCTGTCACATGCAAATTCAGCTGCTTTCCTTCATTGCCCCATTAAATAAGTTTATGTGTTACCAGTAAATTTGAAACATTTAAAACCTCACTGTGCCGAAGACACCTAAAGAATTCTTGGTGTATGCACTCTTTAAGGGTTGAACAACCTCAAGAATAGTAGTACTTAATTACAATAAATTAGTCTCTTCCTGTCCCATCAAATACAGTAATGTTTTCAAAGTATGATGGAAACATTTTTAAACTCCATGCAACAATCCTGGGGCAGGGGTGTGGGTGCAACTCCATGAACTCAGCACATCTAAACTCAGATGTGATAATAACTCAGGGGTGATAATGCCATGAAGAAAATCCAGCGAGGGAAGGAGACGCAGAGTAATGGATGAGGGAGGCTTCTCCAATTCGGTTTCAGATGTGCTGGGTTCATGGAGTTGCACCCACACCCCTGCCCCAGGATTGTTGAGCCTGAAAAGTCTTACTTGCTTCAAACAAGTCAGCTTTTTTTCCCCCTCCTGTTACAGATTCCCTCCTCAAAATCAGATTCCTTTTCACCTGTAACCTGGCATTGAGATCCAACACCCAGGCTGGTGGCAATGAAGGGGAACTGAGTAACTGTGACCTCTCTCCCATGCGCATTTGGAATCTGCAAAGTTAGAAAAGTGTAAACTGCTGGACAAGGTGACTCTCTACCCCTAACACAGAGTCCAGCCCTTACAGATAAATTGTATATCTGTTTAAGTTACTGCATGTTCATCTGTGCTTTCAGCCCCAAGGACATATTTCCCCTGTTGGGGGCACTATCAACCCTGGTGAAAACGCACGTCTTAACAACAGCTGCAAAAACTCAAGTCCATATTTGATTGTCGGCTCATAGCCAGAAATTCCTAAATCAATAATGATTTAGCACCACTTCACTCATAACAATTATATCAGAAACATTTTCAAAATAAAAAGTAGAAAAAAAACCAATATAATCTATGAAATACATAAAACTGGGTGAAATATTGCTCAGTCAGTAACATCCTGGTTAATTTTTTTTGCATTACTCTCAGTCTATTGGAGTAATGTTTGCTCACAGAACCAAAGATTTAACTACTGTTGATTTTACATGCTTCAAAGAGCAAAAAAACCAAATTAACTTTCGAGAAAATATTTTCCTAGATGGTATCAATGAGTAATTTGGAAAACCGGATAGAAAACTTCTGTGAAGAGCACATAGGTTTTCATTGACAGAAGTAATTAACTAACTAAATTAACTAACATATGCTGCTCACAAACGACCTGAAAATAAATGGCCCACAAAGTTACATGTGTCACAAAAATAAGTCAGTGGTTCATTAGAAAATCACTATGCCATCCACATATACAACTGAGGGGAAATTTCCCCATTTGAAAAGATTCCAGAATATATATTTATATTCTTTTATACCTCCAAAACACCCCTCAGCATTTTCAAACACTCAGAGCAAGAATCATAGGAAGACTAAGAAACAGAACACTCATTAACAAATGGAGGATGCAAAAAAGGAAAGTCCTCTGTGTAAGCCAATTAAAAAATCTGCATCATATTAAAAATTGAGCTCACCTACCTTCACTGGTTCATGTTCATTACTGGAGTCTTGCACCAACTGCAGGTAAAACATCATGAAAATATTCACCACTGCCCACTGTCTGTACATTTTGAACATTTTAATATCCACTGATTACCAAGGAGTTGACATCAGGCAGCTAGAGAAAACTGTTTCAAAAGGCATTCTCCAGAAGGAAAGCTTGAAACCCCAAGATTTCACGTGGAAAAAACAATCAGTTGTGATCAAAATCCAATGAAATGACTTCAATTAGTCAAGGTATGTTTTTGCACAGTCTTATGCAGACAGAGAGATGAAAAAAAAAATTAAAATGTTCTCATGCTCCAAAAATAATCAGGAGGTGGACATGTTTTCCACTGGCAATGAGAAAGCACTTTAAATCCATTTCATGGCCAGCAAATGAAAAAAAATCTCTCTACCCTATGCCCCAGGTTCTAGCTCCTTTGTAAAGAGGTGGTGTGGCCACCAATGTTTGCAGCTACAGAAAAGCTGGAACCCAATTCTGGATTCCAACTCTTTTCATAACCCTCATGGAAGCTTGTGGGAGCATGTGTCTTAAATCTGACACAGATTTTGGCAGAAAATGCAGGGAGGTCTTGGCTGTAATCCTGTCACATCCCTACCAATAGCAGGGATGTTTTAAAAACTGACTCAAACACTCAGGACTGCTGTTATTTTAATGCAGATAACCTGTAATGTGAAACCTCTGCACATAGGCATGACTGTGGATCAAAACTGCAGTGCTCAGGAAGGGACCTCGGATGCTCACACATCAACTGCCAGTGACACACAGAAGAAATCAAATATGCTTTAAAACCTCACACGTTCACAAAAATAACAAAATCTCCACACACACATGAAAAGCAAACAAACATAAAATAAAGAACACCGATTTTTAAAGAAGCAACAATTAGGTTTATTTGCATGTGCCAGGAAATACCTCACGTACATTTCTATAAAAACCATGTTGTCACTTTTGTGGAACCCTTTGGAAGCACTGGCTAAGTCAGCTTTGGAAACTGAATGCATTTCCAAAAGCTTCGAGACCAGCTCCTGGGCTCTTCACTAGTTTCCAATCTTTGACTTCCAGGTTTTGGCTCTTTCAAACCCATTTTTTGCATTTCTGAAATCAAGAATGGCCTGAGAAATCTCTTCATTGGTGTTCATCACAAATGGACCTAAGCAAGAAAGAGACATTCAGAAAGTTCTGGGTGATGATAACATTTTCTTCTATCCCTAGAAATGGTATGTGTTTCTGTAGTTCTTAACTTGAAACAATTCCAGGCATATCTGAACAGTAAAAGGTTATTTTTGCAGCACCCGATCACCAAGGATGGTAATACAAGTTTCTTGACTAGATAAAGGCAACTGCATCTCATTCATCCATTGCAGGTTGTCATCTTTACTCAAAACATTCTTAGGTTTAGTTCTATTACAACCATTTTGTAGTTGTTAGGCTTTTTTTTCATTCCTTATGTCTTGGAGATATAATTGACATGCAACATTGTATTAGTTTCAGGTATAAACATGATTTTATATTCGTATATATTGCAAAATGATCACCACAATAAATCTAGTTAATACCCATTTTTTATGATGAGAATTTTTGAAAAAAAATATTTTTATTGATTTCAGAGAGAGGAAGGGAGAGGGAGAGAGAGAGAGACAAAAACATCAATGATGAGAGTCATTGATCGGCTGCCTCCTGCACGCCCCTCGCTGGGATCGAGCCCACAGCCCGGGCATGTGCCCCAACTGGGAATCGAACCATGATCTCCTGGGTCATAGGTCAATGCTCAACTGCTGAGCCACGCCAGCCAGGCCAATGAGAGCTTTTACTGTAGTGCTAGCTTTGTACCACTAGCTACTGTCAAGAACTGAACCAATTTGGTACAAAGAATTGACAAATCTCATCCTAATTTTGTGCCTACATAGTATATGAGACTGTGTATTTAGATGACTGGTCTAAGTCATTTTTGAAGATTAATAATGGTTCATTGAGAATAAACAGGAAATTACAAAAATTTCAAGTCAAGAAAGTGTCATATTTTGGATTCTCTAAGGGCTGGCCAACTTTCAGTAAAGAGCCATGTAGTATATTTTTTAGATTTTGCGATTCAATAGTCTTTCTCAACTACTCAACTCTTTCATTGAAGCACAAAAAGAGCCACAGGCAATATGAAAATGAATAGGCATGGCCGCATTCCAATAAAACTTTCTTTATAAAAAGATGCAGTGGACGGATTTGACCCCGGGGTCAGAGTTTGTTGGTCCCTTTGCCTAATTCCTAGGTTTGAATTAGGGTTTTGCTAAAAGTGCAGAAGTCTGTAGCGCCTGTTTCTTCCCTTTTCTTCACATATTACAGGGGCAAAGGGACACTGTCCTGGACTGTACACTACCAAGATCTATTGGATAAAGAAGGCCAGCTCCTGTATGGCATTTGAAGTGTCTCAAAAGCAGTTGACAGATTTGTCCATTCAGTATATTTCTTCTTCCAGTATGCAGAGGTTCCTGACATTCCTTTTATAAAAGCTCATCTAAGAGGCTTTCTCAGAGAGAACCAAATTAAAATAGAACTGTATTACTTAGAAGAAATCACACATTAGAATTTCTTAACAACTGTTAGCATATCAGGGCTTTGGCACTCACTATAATATGCTTTGATGATGTTGAGGCCTTTTGGGATGTTGCATGGAATAGGGTGACTGTACAAAGAGAAACAGGCAGAAAGCCTCTGAATTCATTCATTAAATTACCTATCTATTGAGTATTTATTGAGTGCCTATTAAAGGACAAACATTGTGCTAGGAGCTAGAGACAAATGACACACTCTCTTCTCCCAAGGACCTCAAATCTATCACACAGACAGATATGAAAACAAATTATTACAGGCAGTGTGATACATGAAATGATAAAAGTATGTAAAATGTATGGAGTCCGTACAGAAAGGGGAAGAAGGGTCCAGAAAAGGCGTTTTGGGATCAGCATGCTGGAGGGATTGAGAATGGGGCACAGTGTCTCAAGGAGGGATGGGAGTAGAAGAAAGAATGGAGGGAGGGATCTGATGTGTAGGAAGAGGCGAGACCCCTCTGGGCTTTGGATTCCATCTACTGAAAGACGTTTGGACATAATTCTGCAAGTGATCAGGAATCACAGAAGAGTTAAGTAGAAAATAACGTGATCTGATTTGCGGCGTTTGAAGACTTCGGCATCAGGATAGAGAAGATGTCTGATGTGGGAGGCTGGCTGATGGTGGAATTGTTAAGGGTAATTGAGATACAAGCCTTGGGGGGCTGTAGGTAGAGCAAGGACTTCAGTTCTGGATATTCTGACATGAAGGTGCTGGAGACAATAAAATGGCTTCCTGCCAGAGGTGCTTAGTACAGTGTTGGAAATATTCATCTGGGGCTCATGGGAGAATTTCATCTGGAAGTGGAGGTTTGGATGTTATCAGATAGGAAAAAGGGAGAGAGCCTTCATGTGCGAAATAAATAATAAACCCAAGAGGGCACCCTGGAGAAGCCAACTTTTTAAAGGACACATGGAAGAAAGGGAATAGAACTTGGAAAATGAGAGTAAGTACTGAGCCAAGGACAGATTTCCTGCATGGCATCATTGTGCTATAGTTTGGATTTACGGAACACTTCTCCCATACCCTAATTATACTTCTGTAAAAGCAGTGCACTTCTGGGCTTCCATTTGGACACTTTTCTGGGGAATTCTGCTGTGCTTCTCAATTTATAGTGTGCACATGAGTCATCTGGAATCTTATGAAAAAATGTATATTTTGATTCCAGAGGTCTGGATAGGGTCTGAAACTCTGCACTTCTAACTATCTCTTGAGAGATGCTGACGCTGCTGGTCCACAGGCCACACTTTGAGAAATATGGGAAGTATTGGAAGCTTGGAGCCCTCCAAAGCCAGGTTGGGGAAGCTCATCTCCTCAAATCCTCAAGAAGAAAAAGAAAACTGAAACCAGAAAGCAAGTTTTGTTTTTCCCTTTTTCTCATGTTCTTTTATTTTTATTTTTTTGCTATTACATTACCAAATTTATTTATTTTTTAAAATTGAGGTGTAATAGGCATACATTATACTATTTGGGTGTTCAATATAATGATTTAATATGTCGATATTCCAAAATGATCACCACAGTAAGACTACTTAACATGCATTACATACATAGTTACAGATTCTTTTTTCTTGTGATGAGAACTTTTAAGATTTACTCTCTTAGCAACTGTCAAATATGCAATACAGTATTACTAACTATCATCACCATGCTGTACATTATATCCCCCAGAAAACATGTTTTTAATTGATCAGCTATAAGGGTTATAAACAAGAAAAATGTTTGAGAGTTGTCAATAATCCCATAAATCCTCTTTCAAACTACAGTTTTCATCTCTTTAATTAAACCTTTCAACTCCCTGCCCAGTAATAAAAATGGCATGAGTTTAATGTCTCCTGATGTAGAACCTTGGTATAGAGGAGAGAGCACAAAACATGGGGTCAGGGGTCAGTGTTCGAATCCCAGCTCCACTGTCAACAGTCATGTCCCATCAGAGAAGTCACAGGGCAAGCGAGCGGCACCTGGCACTGTGCAAGGCGGAAAGGTGGGCTGCTTGGAAACCAGACAGCCTGAGTGTGAACCCGACTATGTGGCTGTAGGCAAGCCAATGAACCTTTGCACCTCCACTTCCTCATCTGGAAAATGGGGATGAGAGAACCTACCTCATAAGGTTGTTCTGTAGATTAAATGTATTAATATTTGGAAAGCATTTCAATCAATCCTAGTAAACAGTAAATGCTACCCAAGGATCTGCTAAGTAAATAAGTAAAATATTGAGATTTCATTTTCCTCATTTATAAAAGGGACATGACTACATCAATGCTAAGGACATTCGCTATTCCAATAATCTATGACATCCTGCGCTTAATTTGTGGACACATAATTAAGGACACTCCATGATAAGAAAAACAAAGGCCTTAACTAATTCATTCCCAAATAGTAGATAGATGATTGTGGCTGTCTTTATACATGAACAGGTAATAGAATAATTTAAATGTCTGAATTTTTAAAACTTTAAACAAACAAACAAAATGCTTTGCTTCTCATTAACTGAGATGTCAAGGGACATATCTTTTGGGCTTACCATGTTGGACAACTGGTTCTCTTAATGGCTCTCCAGCAATTAGGACGAAGTGGCTTCTCTCAGGATCCTAAAGTCAAGGAAGAAAGGATCAATCAATAGACATGCTTTTTTTGAATATCAAATTAGGAATAATTTGAAGTTGACATGATAGACAAATGGACAAAGTTCCTAATTCTGAACATAAATTCCAGAAATATTATTTGTGCAGTACTCAATATGGAAACACTTATTTCTTAAGATGTTTGGTAGCATTTAGAACATAAGGCCAGACCACAAAAATATTAACCTTCTCAAATAAGGAAGAATTTAAATTAAGATCTTCCTTAACTGGAAACATCTTTAAGATAAACTGTGTGACTGACCTGACTATGAACCGACTGTGTGATTATAGGATTTGTGATTTCCTACTAACAATATAATTTTTTTCAACACAACATACCTCTCTATTTCAAGCCGGATGTATACAGAGGAAAACATGGCAGACCTCAGACTTATCTACTAAACGTTCATCTAAGAGTCCACTTCAAAGCACTATTTCCTGGTAACTTCTCAAGTCACTCAGTTGCTTCCCATACAGATGGAATTTGTCTTTAAAGTAGAAGCACTTCAAAATCAGGTTATTTTCAGACAGAAATCAGTCCTCTTTGTGCCCATTCAAAAACAATTACTCTAAGACTGTAGCAGAGAATCTGAAGACATGAGCACAAGGAGTAGAACAAGCTGACGTCAGATCTGTGTTAAGGTCATGAAGGTAACTTTAGGCACAAGCCAACTTCACTTTTTAAAATTTATTTTTATTTTGTTTTTAATTAGAGCATACATTCAATATTGTTCTGTATTAGTTTCAGGTGGACAGCACAGCGGTTAGACCATTATGTACTTTACGAAGTGTTCCCCCTGTTACTTCAAGATCCCACCTGGCACCGTATATAGTTATTTGCACAGCAGAGGAAACCATCAACAAAGTGAAAAGACAGCCTACTGAATGGGAGAACATATTTGCCAATATCCAAAAATTACAAAGAACTCAAACAAATTGACACAAAATACCAAACAGTCCAATTAAAAAATTGGTACTTCTCCGAAGAGGACATACAGGTGGCAATACACACATAAAAGATACTCAACGTCACCAATCGTCAGAGAAATGCATATTCAGACCACAATGAGATATCACCTCGCACCTGTCAGAATGGCTCCATCAATAAATCAGCAAATGAATGTTAGCAAGAATGTGGTGAAAAGGGAAGCCTCGTGCAGTGTTGGTGGGAATGCAGATTAGTGCAGCCACTGTGGAAAACAGTATGGAGTTTCCTCAAAAAGTTAAAAGCGGAACTGTCCTATGATCCAGTGATTCCACTTCTGGGTACTTATCAAAAAAACCCCAAAACAATAATTTGAATGAATATATACACCCCTAGTTCACGAAGCATTATTTATAATAGCCAAGCTATGGAAGCAACCCAAGTGCCCATCAACAGACGAGTGGATAAAAAAGTGGTGGTACATATATGCAATGGAATATTACTTGGCCATAAAAAAAAATGAAATCTTCCCATTTGTGACAACATTGACGGACCTAGAGGGTGTTATGCTAAGTGAAATAAGTCAGATAGAGAAAGATAAATACCATATGATTTCACTTATATGTGGAATCTAAAGAATAGAATGAATGAACAAGCAAAATTAAAACAGACTCATAGATACAGAGAACAGACTGATGGTAACCAGAAGGGAGGGGGGTTGGGAGACTGGGAGGAATAGGTGAAGGGGTTAAGAAGTACAAATTGGTAGTTACAGAACAGTGACAGAAATGTAAAGTACAGCATAGGAAATATAGCCAATGATATTAGAATAACAATATAATTTTAAATGAAAGATTTATGCAAATCCAAAAGTAAGATTTTATTATTTTTGACATTTATTACTATTAATGTAAAATATGCTCCAGAAATATTGCACTAAATGGAACCTTATAAAAACATCCAAAGGGATATCTGCTCAGGCAAATTTCTCTCCAAAAGACTCCTATTGTACTAAAGTCTCTAAAAATTTTTGCTTAGAATTAAGATTTCCCCCCCCGAAATTGAAAAAACTATAATATCCAGTGTTAATGCAGATGCAGAGAAAGATACACTTTTATATATCATTTGAGAGGTTTTAAATGGGTACAGGAATCCTTCCAGAGAGCACTTTCACAGTGACTCCAAACTCCCTCCACTGCTGATGTCCTCTGACCCAGTAATGCCAGAGAAACCAGCAGAAGAACCCCCCCACCTCACCTGTGAGAATAGTAAATAACTGTTTTAAGCCACTACTGAGTAGTTTGCTACTCATTAATAAATAACTGAACATTATATATTTTTTGAGGCATCTCTTAGGTTTATCTGATTTAGAATAAAACAATAAGTAAGCCCATAATGATTGGATACTTTAAAAAAAGCCTTTACAATTTTTTAAAAACTTCACCCATATTCTAATAATATAGCATATTTATAAATATGTGATAAAATAATGTTATATTTATATGCTTTTACTAATATAAATCTCTTTAATTAGCAATCATTATAATGTTATTAGTACCAGAAGAGTTATCACTGGATTCAATAAAAATGAATAATGAATTCTTTTATTTTCCATGCAGTTAAATTTATTTCTCCTTCTGCCTCCAACTTTAAAAAATTAAAAGGGAATTTAGGGTAGATGTTTTCTGCAAAAGTTTTCCACCAAGTGGATGATTTAATCATTTCTTCATGTTTAAAAAAATATGTTTAAGTATTCCTAGGCCTACATTTATTTATATATCACCACCTTACCTATCCATAACACAATTTTCTGTCAAAATTTGCTAATGTGAACTCAGTTGGAAATCAAAGAGTGAGCCTAAAAAGGCTTCTGCTAATTCAAATTTTAAACATGTCATAAACCACATACACTAAAGATCAGTGCTTTAACTTTAACACAGACCCTCACTCAATTCCCACTTACTCTTGCTTTATACACAATGCTAACGATTAGTCTCTGCGGCTATCAGATCTATAAGACATTCAAAGCTAGAAGACAGAAAAGTACTTCTGGATAGCAATACAAGAAAATAGACAGCTTAACATCAGTGGTGGAAATGAAAAAAAAACACAAAAAACACCTATATAAAACAGGCACAGAAGCTTAAAAATTAGTCTAGGTCCACTTACATCATACTTTATAGCTCACAACAATAACTGATACACATACTGATGTCCCAGGGTCATGAATAAGTGAAATTGTGCATGACAGAATCTAAGGCCACAGGAAAGGGGCATGTTTCTCTCTGAAAAGATTTCTTTTTCTTTTTTTCAATATCATGTTTAAGTGACTAAAACCTCAACTTAAAAAAAAAGCAGTTAATTTAAAAAGGTTTATTTCCTAAGAGCGTTGGAATGGTGAAATTTTAGTGTGAATCAATAGACACGTGAAAGAAAAGCATCTTAGAAAAATAGTTCTGATAATTGGTACTACATTATCTCTAATTTAATCTGAAAGAAGATATCCCTGAGTAGTGTTTTGAGGTGTTTTTTTGAAAGGGAGACACACTTGAGTTTTAGGGTCAGGAGGCAGAGAAGAGGGTTGGGGGTTTTGAGAGAAGGCAAGAAGAAAGGCTGATCTCCTGTGTCACGGATGCCCTGACTTCTAAGACTGTAAGTTTTTAAGTTGAGAACATGCATCTTTTGTGAGTAACAAACTTGTCCTACAAGTTTATACATTTTAGAATACTAATGTTTTAAAAATTAAAGTTTTGCTCCTTTTGATATTACTCAAATCAAATGATGACTTTCCATTTATAATTAGGACAATAGGATAAAATGACACTTATATTTGGTCTGAAATGAAAAATGATTAAACTGCTGGGTGTTGAGGAGTTCAGGGGTTTGGTTTCTCACTTCAAAAATCTGAAGGATGGTTCAAGCTTCTTTTAATGACTTTTCCACAAAATTAACCTCCGAGCTGCCCCTTCTGCACTAACCTAAACCAGATGTTCTGTGTCTTTTTCTTTTTTAAGTGCATCTTTTCTTTTTCCTTAGCTCACCTTTTTTAGTGAAAGCTGATAATCTTTCTGGATATTTAGTAGAGTGCTGATGTGGTTGAAAGTTCCAGTTGCTGTTATCCTGAAAAATCCTTACCTATGGTGAGTGAGTGACCTTGTGTACCACATCAAATGATGGAAATCATGCAAAAGCAGAAAACAAAAGAACTACTTAAGACATGAGTCCCTGTGTCAGTCTAAGTCAATGCCTTTTTGGGGTTTGATGAAAAGACCCCACACAAAGGTAACAGAGGCCCACTTACTGCTTCATGTATAATTAGCCCAACTAAAATTCATGATCTTTTTGGGCCCAGACCATGTCCATTACTTTACATGCTTTTTGTTTTGTTTTGTTTTGTTTTGTTTTTCCTTTGCTGCACATTCTTAGAGTTCCTGGTTCAGAGTTAGGCCCTTCTGTGTTTACTTAATAATTTATTTTTACAAATTGCTCTTGTTATTCCATAAATCTTATTGCCAAGACACATCTTGGGTTCCACTAATACCAACAATAAATTATCACAGCCTAGATGAAGGCTCTATGATTCATTTAAGGTGGTGATAACTTCTACACTATGAGTATGTACTCATAGTTTGATTGATTAGACTTTGGGAATGAATCTAAGGGCACGCTTTTGCTTCAAGAACATTTATTATAGTGATATATTATTACCTGAAAAAATTACCAGAAAGAAACTCAGTTGTAGCATGCCTTAATTGCATGCAATTGTTCTAACTAGATTTCATTGTTTAAACTTCTTAGGCCAATTGAAAGGCAAAACAATGAACTATTATCAGTTTTTAAAAACTAATGGCTTGTCAATATAGAGACAGACTCAGATAGAGAGCAAGCAGACAGCTCTGGTGTGGGGGGTGTTGGGGAGGTGGAGGGATTGAGCAAAAAGGAAAAAGAGAGAACTCATGGACATGGACAACAGTGTGGTGATAGTGGGGGGGGGAGTTGGAAGAGGGCATAGAGGGATAAATGGTGACAAAAAAAAAAAATAGCGCAGCCAGCATGGCTCAGTGGTTGAGCATCAACCTATGGTCCAGGAGATGCCTGGGTTGTGGGCTCGATCCCCAGTATGGGGCATGCAGGAGGTAGCCGATCAATGTTTCTCTCTCATCAATGTTTCTATCTCCCTGTCCTCCCTTCCTCTCTCTCTCTTAAATCTATAAAACATATCTTACTTTATTTTATTTTTATTGTTGAAAGTATTATAGATGTCCCCTTTTCCCCCCTCCACTCGGCATCCACCCCCAGGCCTTCCCCACGCTGTTGTCTGTGTCCATGGGTTATACATTTATGTGTGTAAGTTCTTTGATTAATCTCTCCCACCCACTCCCCACCCTCGCCTTCCCTCTGAGATTCGTCAGTCTGTTCCATGCCTCTATGTGTCTGGATATATTTTGTTCATCAGTTTATTTTGTTCATTAGATTCCACATATAAATGAGATCATGTGAACATATTTTTTAAAAATAAAATAA